TTTTTTTTTTTTTTAAACTTGTATGCTTCTGTTTCTCCCTTTGGGAAAAGTTTTAACTTCTTGACAAATTTGACTCCCTAAAGGGAACGAGAGCGTGAGCTGTATGGGCCCAAGAAGAGAGGACCTAAGCCTAAAACTTTTCTCCTGAAGGTAACTCTTATTTAGATAACTTAGGCCTAGCCAAATGTCTCTCGAACCTCACCGGTTCGTGTCCTTGGAAGGACTGGACTTTCAAGTGACTTGTGCCTGCCGCTGGGCTCTGGGAACATGGGGACAACCCAACGGGAAGGGGGGGGGGGCAGGGACGCAGAAGCGTGTGAGGGGAGAGCATGTGTGCGTGCGACGGGTGCCCCAGCAGGACGGTCGGTACACGCGGATGTGCACGGTGAGGCTGCAATCTCTTTTCCAATATCCTCTCCCTCTTTACGGCCTTCTGCTGCCGCAGTGGAGAGCTAGCCTGCCCCGCTCCCTCTTCCTTCAGCAGTGTATTCCATCCAGCCTGCGCCCTGCTACTTAACAGCATGCTGAGCAATCGGGCAGCTGTGGCGGGAGTCCTGCGGCCACTTTTGCTCCTCCAATTGCGTTTCAGGATGTAGGTGCTCCACGAGAGTTTCATGAAGGGTTCATGTTTTGATCTGTAAACTGCAGGCTTGTTTTGTTTTTTGGGGGGGAGGGAGGGGATGGGGGGGAGGAGGAGTGTTTCACCTCTGTGTAGGGTAGCAGCTGAAGTTTCCAGTTCCCTCTGATAGACCCAGCATGTCTGCCAGAAGGTATTGTCGTAGCATCTCTGCTAGCTTGCGGTGATGAATGAGGAAGGCAGTCCCTAGTGCAGCCTCCCCCCCACTTAATTTTTTTACTTTCTTTTTTTTTTAATAAAGAAGTCTGGTAGCTGCGTGACTGTTATGTGAGCTCTGCAGATTTATTAGTCTACAGACAAAACTCCTTGTTTTGCTCCCCTCTTACCCCGCTTCCTCTCCAACTGTCTCAATGTCAGACTTCAAATGAATGTAGAAACACAACACACATTTGTACGATTAAGGCAGATGAGTGAGTTCACAGCTTCCTTGGTTTTGATCCGGTATAAAGCCCTGGAACAGCCAGGGTGGACTCTGTGGTAAGGCATCACTATCACTAAGTCATCCTATGGCTTTGGGCAAGTCATTTAGCCTTTGTGCATGTTTCCCCATCTGTGAAACAGGTTAATACTTTCCTTTGCCTGGCAGCGGTAGGAGCTTTACTCAAGTCAGCGCAGCACTTTAACTGTATGAGCACTGGAAAGAGCAGTGAGGGGTAGGGTGTCGCCTCTCCTCTGCTTTAAGAGGACATAATGAAGCACATGAAAGAAATGCGGGAACAGGCGTATTCTGATGCTCCAAGTAAAACCCAGGGGACTGTGGTAATCCTCGGAAAGTCCTGCTGATGGAACTGTTCCTCTCCCTTGTTGCCTGTTTTTCTGCTAACAGTTTTCTGTATCTGCAGACTGAGAACTGCAAACATAACTGATACGTACGACCTCTTACTCTTTATTCAGGGAAACTAGACTAGTTGGTTTGTCTCTTTCTGGCAGTCATGCATTAAATGAAACCCTTGTGTTTAGGTTTCCAACAATGCAGAGGAACGTTCAAAGGGAAACCACCAGCTTAAAATAGTTCTCTGCTTGAATTAAAAAATACTGGTATTTGTAACACCTGACATTGTTCAGAGTGGTAGAGAAGCATTTATGCTGTGCTTTTAACATTACTGTGTGTAATCGGTTTCTTTTCTTTTTGATTCTGAATGTGATATGGCAAAATCCACTGCCAATTTTTCAATCATTTTAAAAAAACAAAACCAACCCCCAAACTCAAAAATAAAACCCACTCATTCCTCCTCTTCTCCCCTCGCCCTTTAAAACCCCCCTAAACTTGGAACCTGAATTATTCAACAGCATCCTTTGAATCACATCCCTGACACGTTTCTGTGGCACATCTTCCTTCTGCCAGCTTCTCAAACGCTACTGAAAACCCGTAGGTTTGCAGAGCTGGCTTGGTACTTTGTAGAAGATGGATCGCCATAGGGAGCGAGATGAGCTCTCCGGAAGGCTGGTGCCACGTTGTGGGAGAGGCTGGCAGGGCAGAGTGCTGCCACTGACGCTTGGTTTGCAGCTCTAGGAAACGGAGCTGGTGAAACTGTTAGCGCTCTGACTTGCCGTTTATCTGTGACTTCGGATCCTACCCTAAAAATAACATGCCAGGCCAGGCAGCATGAAGTAACCCTATCAGCTAGCCCTATCTGAACTTGTTTGAGCTCTGTTCAGGCAAACCACTAGCAACGCAACTGCGGCTAGAAACACGACCGAGATCAGCATGATAGTTTGTGTCGTATGCATCTCTCGGTCAATTCTCCTGACCTGCCGAAGATGTGGGTTTGACCTCTGCTAGCCCTGCAGCACTGGTGCTGCTGTGGGAGGAGTGGGATTCGGTTCTGCCTCATGCATAGCTAACGATGTTTTCGGTTCTTTCAGTTGCAGAATCTCTTGCCAGTGAGAACTTCGGAAGCAGGGGAAGAAATTTGATTCTTGCATCCCAGAGGGAGTCTTTGGAGTTGGCAGTTAGAACAATATTCTTTTTGATCTGTTAACTGAACAGATTAGGTCTGGATGCAATGATGTTTAAGCAGGAGTCTGGCCTAAGACTGCTTTGGTAGACTAGTCTGCCCTCTACTCAGTGGCTTGCTAGGATTTTTCATCTGTATCAGTGCTTAAACTTAGGCTTCTGAGTCTCCAGTAAGGCACTGAAATAAGTGCCCCGATATGCTGCTCAGTCTCCTGGCTTGTGTGGGTGTTGTAGTTTGCAGTTGGGGCTAGGTTTATCCTGGGATTAGTTCTCAAAAGCTGCAGATAGGCACCCAGGGGGATTTGCAGAAAGCATTCCAGCAGGTTAGTGGCCCACGCCTTTGGAAAAGCTTTGAAAAGCTGCATCTTTGGCCACCTGCTGCCTTTGTAAGCCAGGCTCCTGTTGCTGAGAGCTGTCTAACACTTGCCCTTTCGATCAGACTGCAAAGGGAAATTACAGTCCAGGCTTTGTAATATCGCTATCAAGATGGCCGGTGTTGAAAGTGACCCCTGCAAACTTCAACTGCAAAGTTTTGGGCAGGAAATGGGTCTTTATCCTCTGCATACTAGGGGCAAACTTTCCCACAGCTGAGATCAAGCTTGGCGGGAGGTTGTAATTCTTGGGAGGCTGCTGGTATGCTGCAGGCTTTGTGCTGAGTGTATGGGAAGCAGAGTCCTTGGTCTGAAATGGGCAGCGCTGTACGTAAGGCTCTTACCTTACCACTTAGGTGTCTGGCAGAAGTCGTCCTTGAGGACAGGCCCTTCAGCTGCAGGTCAGAGTGGAAGCTGGTGCGAGGCTAGAAAGAGACATAGTGCGTGCTATAGTGATCTTGCTCTTTTCCCCTGCTCGGTTTGCTCTTTTTATTTTGCTTTTCCCTCGGCACTCCACTGTGTGGAATGCAAAACTCGCCAACTAATCTAATAAAGTTTAGCAAGTGCTGTTAAGAGACAGAGCCCGGTCTGCAAGCTCAGTGGGTGGCTAGCAAAGACTCCTAGTTGGGGTGGCTGTAAATACTAAGGTGAAAAGACTGGGGAAGGTTAATGGGGAGAAAGAAGTAACCGAGAGCAGAGTAAGGGAGAGCCTTAGTGGGACGGGGGGAAGAAGGGGCCAAGCAGCGTGGTGTTCTGTCGCTTTGCCCTTCCTTGAACTCTAAAGTTGGAGTTGGGTTTCTTTTGATCTCCTCCCTGTTCGTAAATTATCCCTGAGCGGTTTGAAAACAGACCATTCCCCTTTGTAGCATTTTGTTCCCCATCCAGTAGGGAAACTTTAGTTTATGGCAGTGTTGCTTGGGAGAACTGTGCTATGAACTGGCTTGCTGTTGCCTTGTCACTTGGAAGACTGCAGAAGAAAGAGGGCGATAAAAAGGCAGAATGGCAGCCAAAAAGGGGAAAGAAGAGCCCTTGCGAATGCTGTTTGCAGCAAGGACTGTGGGAATGCAGGTGGAGAATAAAAGACAAAGCAGAACCAGTAATTTCCGAGAGAGTAGCGCTACTATGGTGCAGCAGCACTACTGGAAATGACTTGATTTTGAAATAATTAACTAGAAATCCGTTGCCTTACAAGGTCTTTTTTTTTTTTTCTTCCAAATTGCAGAGGTTTTGATACAAATCAGGTAAGAGAGGCTTTTCTAAGCACGTGTCCATGTACGTGCTTGTGTGCCTCAGTGCGTTAAGGGAATGAATGAACAAATATGCTTGCTGGGCCTCAAGGGACGTTTATTCAGAAATAGTAGGGAACAGGGGAGATATACTAGTTCCCAGGGGCAATGAGGGAGAGCTGTACAAGCTAAATAAAGGTGATACATATCCCATAAAGGGAAGGGGGGGAAGGGAAGCAATCCTAGCAATTGCCTTGCTCTCATGACAGAGCACTGCAGCAAGCCTCCAGAAGCTGCATCCTGAGGTAGGCTGAGCTGTAAGGAGAGAGTGAATTACTTTGTATACATGCTGAATACCTCTTCAGCAGTGAGCAAATCCTGCAGGTGAAAACTGCAGAACCCAAAGAGGTAGTTTCTGTTTGGAAAACTTCTCAGTTAAGTAACCAGCTGTGGTAACACAGCTGAAAGGATTGAACAAGTTTGTTTTTCAAAGACCTCATGCTCATACAGCTCGTGAGTGTGATAGAGTAATGGATCCATAGCAGGGAGCAGTGCATTTCCAGCAGATAAAGCTGAGTGCTGAGTCTTCTCCAAACCAGAGGTAGCAAGTTACTTAATGTAAAGTTGGAAGCAGGAGAAGGAGAGCCCAGAAAATGTGCTGTCCTCTGCAGGGGAGAGACTTGAGTTCCTATAGTTGATGCCTGAATAAACCTGATCCTGTGGTAGGAATACTGAGCTTCGCAAGTGAGAGGGCTCTGAGGGCTGGTCTTAGATAAAGCATCTGATACTGTTTTTCTTGAAACCTTACCTGGAAAAAAAAGCTCAAGGTAAGCTGAATACTTGCATAGTGCTCTTTAGAACTCATGTTAAAGCTGGTCACTGGGGACAGCAATGTAGCACCTGGAGGGGACTGTTGTGTCCCAGCTTACCCTCTCTCTTAATAATCTGGCCAAAGAGGTTGATGGTGCATGTAGTCTACCTGGAGACTACTGAAACTGGAATTTAATAAATGCAGAGAGCTGAAACATGAGTTAGAAACAGCTTCAGCCTTGAGGAAGTGCCCCAGAAGTAACTGGAAACGCAGATGCATAGCAAGTAAAGGAGACCTAGTGGTTCTGGCACACTGGAAAAGTCCTAGCCACGGACCAGGGCTCTGTGCTAGCTGCTGTGTAGGCACAAAACCGAGACAGGTGCCTCTGTCAAAACAGGACAGGAGCTGATCAGTGTGCACAGGCTGAGAAAGTTTTTTTTTTATGGAAGTGGCCGGGCAGTGAACATCCCAGTATTATCGCTTTTCATTTAACATGGTTGATGGGAAGCTTTGCTGAGGAATTTTGGGGTGTATAAGGCAGCTGTGAGTGTTTGTGACTGCTTCCTCTAGACTCGGGGAAGATGTGGGGGAGGCCTGCTTCTTTCTCACGTGGGTGATAGAAGGCAGCACTGTGGGCAGGTGGCAATTAGAGTCAACTCTGAGCAGAGGGGCACAAAGGGGGCAGAATTCCTCACTCCAAGGTGTGATTACAGGCTAGGGAATTAATCTAGAAGACATGCAGTGTTGGCAGCGGGAGAGGCCCTGAAGGATGTCTTTGTGTATCTGCTGAAGCTGTAGATCAAGGATTTTTACCAGAGCATCTGTCTGTACCTTCTGCCTGGTTTCCCTGTCCTGCATTTTGGAATGGGGCATTGTATTGCACTTTGCTCTCCACTGAGCAGTGGTAAATTGGAGAGAAGCCCGAAGCACAAGAGCAGCAATGCTGGAAGGGCTGGCTGTGATGGGGAAGGTGGGGGAAAGCAAGAATAAAATTGTTAATCCAGGCTGTGCTGGTATGTAATGTCAGAAAGCAAACTGTAGCTTGTCCTGGTGTCTGCCATCTGCTTCAGAGGGACCTGTGAAGACAGGGAGCAAGCACAGCCCTAGACATGCATCTGTCTGTGCCTGTGACCTCCTGACGGGATCTGTGGGGTTTCTAAGTTGTGGCTCATTGGGATGGGAGGGGGAGAGTTGATGTGTGGTACAGGGAGTTCATCTGGTGCTGCTGCTGTGCTCCAGCCTGTAGAATGCCTGGGACAGGAACTGTGTCTAACTATTCATTTTCTGAACAGTTTGGGGCATGAAGTAATGCGTGAGGCTGAGCAAAGAGAAACTAGCTGGACACTGGGATGCTTCCTGCTACAGCAGGACATGTTGGGGTTTGGGCTGGGGGTGCTTCCCTCTAGCTAGGTGAAACAGCCCTGTACAGCCCAGGGTTAACGTGGAAAGTGTCTGTGCCTGCCTTGGCAGTTGTGCTACTCATCCCTGTTTCTGTCAGTTGGCTAATACAAAGTCTATAGTCCCCGGTGCAGATGAGCCTTCAGTCTGCATTTTCACATACAGCTGGGGAAGGAGGCCTCATCTTTGCAGTCCTTTTAAAGCCAGGATACAAGTAGTACTGCAGGGCATGATCCAGCATTAGCCAGGGAGGAACAAAATGTCTTCAGTTTCCCTTCTCTGCTCATTCAGGATCTTCTGCGGTTCCCATGAGGATCTCGGTGGGAGAAGAGGAGCACTGGGTGACAGCAGAGTTCTGGGGATGTAAGGCCAGGGCTTTGAGCTTATTGTGCAAGAGGGGCCCCTCACTTAGATCTGTTAGATCCCTGCCTTTACACACACATTTTTTTCCCCCCGCCGTTTCTCTGTTAGGAGGCACAGCCTGCAGGGTGACAAAGGAGATGGTGTTGGAGTGCTTAAGCTCTTAGCTGGCAAGAAGCCATCCCAATCTTGGCGTGTGCTAGGGGGCAATGGGATGGAAAAGTTGGGGAGGAAAAGCAGCTGTTGTCTTCTAGCACTGCAGTTCTTGTTGTGCCCACGAGATGGGGGAAGCTGCTCACTAGATGGGCAATCGGAGGGGCGCTTGCCTGTCCCCTCCAGGCATGGGTGACTTCAGCCTGTGACCACTGCTGAGAGGGAATAAGGAAGGGGGTTTGTCTGGGCAAGGAGCAGGGTGCAGGTGGGAGGCTGAGCTCCACAAGCAGCTGTGCTCTGACAAGGGGTGATGTAAGAATACGCTCTGGGTTTCCATGCCCACAGGGTCTTCAGGTCATACTGCCTCAGCTTACCAATGAAACTGTTGTTCCTGCTGCCAGAAAATGTTCCTGTCTCTGGTGTGTGAACCAGGGTAGGTTTTGGCACTATCTCCAAGCACCAGAAGAGCTTAAAAGTCTTATTCCCCTGCCCTGGCTCTCAGGGAGGGCTGGCACTGAGCAGTTGAACCAGTGCTGTTCCTGCTCTGTTTCATTAGTAGATTTCAAACAAGTTGTGGTGTTCAAAAGGACAAGGCAATCTCTTCTTTGGAGATGGAGTTAAACTTGACTTGAGTTCCAGCTGGCCTGGTCTCTGGCTTTAAACACTGGACCTTGCTCCCACAGCAGAGTAAGGATATACAACTTGCTTGTGGTCTCTAGTTAAAATTAAGCTTCAGATCTCTGCATTTCTTGTGCTTAGCTAAGACAGCTCTGTCAGACCACCCTCACTCCCTTCCATCTGTGTTCCTCAAGACCCCCTTCTACCATGCTTTCCAGAGCAGATAAGTCTGGTTGTGGGACGGGAAGAGCAAACTGGATGTGTTACTCTTCCTCTCCCCCTTATCTTGTGCTCATTTCCTAGAGGACCTGATACAGTCCCCTGTCTTGGGACTAGTACATAATTTTGGATGCTAACTCAACGCTAACAGCCCCAATGCCTAGGATGGTTGTTTGGCTGACAGTGGAGGGTTGTGCACGTTGGCTGATGATGACTGAGGAGGGCCTTGGAACCCATTAACTGTAACCCTGAAACATGGCTGGAGGGTGGCAGTTTCCTCCTGGGGGAAGCACGTGTCAACAGGGGCACTGCCTAGGAAGTAATTAGCTGCCCAAAAAGGTTGTAGAAGTGCCCCATGCTTGTATGGGGGCTGTGCTGTGGCTCTTAGTAGTCCATAGGTGTGTATGTGTGCTTGTCATTAATGTGGGTATAAATGTGACACGGCATTCTTGTCCTGAGGTGAGCAATGCACGATTTGAGATTTGGCTGCATCTAGCCTGCCTCTCTGACCCTGTTTGTTTTTTTTCTCTCTCCCCACCACCGCAGGCTCGGGCCCAAGCGGAGGCCCTCCACATTGGGGATGTACACTTTTCTGTCAAGCCTGGTTCCAGCACCTCCTCTCCCAAGCTCCACTCCAGCGCTGCAGTGCACCGGCTCAAGAAAGATATCCGTCGATGCCACCGCATGTCCCGGCGCCCCCTGCCCCGTCCAGACCCCCAGAATGGTGGGAGCGTGGGTGGCGGGGCTGGCATCCGTCCTCCTGTCTCGCCCTTCTCGGAGACCGTCCGCATCATCAACCGTAAGGTGAAACCCCGTGAGCCCAAGCGCAGCCGCATCATCCTCAACCTCAAAGTCATTGACAAAGGTGGGAAGCCAGCCAACGGGACCGGGGGCCTGGCTCGGCCCAAGATCCCGTCCCGAAACCGTGTCATCGGCAAGAGCAAAAAGTTCAGTGAGAGCGTCCTCCGCACCCAAATCCGTCACATGAAGTTTGGCGCCTTTTCGCTCTACAATAAGCCGTCTGCTGCGCCTGCCCCCTCTCTGGAGGGCAAAGGGGAGGCCGAAGGCTCCCAGGCAGCCTCCTGTGGTCTCATTATGGGCTCCACCCCCTATGATGCCCCCAGCTCCAGCTCCTCCGGCTGCCCGTCGCCTGCGCCCCACTCCTCCTCTGACCCAGATGATTCCCCTCCGAAGCTGCTTCCTGAGACCCTCAGCCCAGCCATCCCCGACTGGCGCGAGTCAGAGGTCCTCGACCTCTCAATCCCACCTGAGTCGGCCGCCACCAGCAAGCGTTCTCCCCCAGGAGGGTGCAGTGGGGGGCAGACACCCTCCTTGTCCCTCTCCTCTTCTGACCCGGAGCAGGAGGCCGGCGACTGGCGTCCCGAGATGTCCCCTTGCTCCAACGTGGTGGTCACGGATGTCACCAGCAACCTCCTCACCGTCACCATCAAGGAGTTCTGCAACGCAGAGGATTTTGAGAAGGTGGCGGCGGGCGGTGGTGGAGGAGGCAGCAAGTGAGCAGCCAGGTCCCCCTGCTCCAGGGGCGTGGGGGGAGCTCTACCTGCGAGAAGTCGTGGTGCGAATGGCTGTCCTTAGTTCTCTCCTTCTCCCCTTGGCTGTCCCTCTGCCCTCACTGCCACCCTTCCTCCTCCTTTCCCCCTGCCCACTCCCTCTTGCCTGGAGGCTGGAGTGTGTCAGTGGGGGCGAGCGGGGGCACCCACTGTTCCTGGGTGTTGCTGCCGCTGGGAGGAGGCAGGGAGGGTCATGGTGGGGCTGGGGAGTGGTTGTTTGTCCTTGAATGTGGTGTTGTCCAACGGGCGGTGGAGCCTTTGGGGATGAGGGATGGGTGAGCGTGTGTCTGTGTGCCTGTGGGGGTGGTGGGGAAGGTGCTCTTCCTCCTCCTTCCCCTTCCATCTTTGACAAAAACTGAAGAGGAGCTCCAGACCCTTGAGGGGAGGCTGTAAGAGGATTGGAGCCCTCACCCATGCCCCCCAAGCCTTCTCCCACAATGTGCATGCAGTCTCTTCCATTCCTATGTTTCCCCCTTGCCGTGACCCTGATCCTGCCATCCTTCCCCTTCTTGGCCTGCGGCCTGGATCTGCCCTTTACTCTGCTGTCCTGATGGCAGTTGCTGATCCAGATGCCCCCAGAGTGAGGGGGAGAGGGGCAGGTGAAGCGTCATGCCTGGAAGGTGCTTGAGACAAAGCTGGGGTGGTGGGGGGTGCCCCATGCAGCATACACCCCATATTGGCTTCCCCTTTCCTTTGACTATTGGTGCTACCTTGGCAGTTGTATGGGCTCTTTCAGGTGACCTGGTCCCTCTTCTCCTGCATCTTCCAACTTGCTCAGCTTTGCAGGGGGAAGGGAAGAAAAGGGAATCTGCTTCTGGCCCAGATCTTCCTCCTGGTGTTCATCACTTGCACTTGCTTGGGGGAGAGGGCATGAAATGCCCTTCCCCAGCCTTTCTGTGGTGGAAGTGGGAGTGGACCATGCATCCATCCTTCAGTTTGGGGGAAGATACGCCAACAATGTGATGCTGCCCCAGCCGGGTGAGGCTGGTCTCCCACCTTGCGCGTAGGCTTCCCCTGACCCTTTTTGCTTTCCCTGCTCCCTTGGAAGGAGGGAGGGATGGATGCTAAGGTGAGTCATTTGCTCTTCCTGCTTCCTTCCATTTCTCCTGCTTTCCCTTCCCTGTAGTGGATGGCCTGGAAGAGGGTTGCCCTCTGTCTTTTCAGCATCTGAAACAGCCTTTACAACTGTCAACCAAAGGTGCTAATAAGAAATAACTGTCTCTCTCACATCATATGCGTGTGCGCTGGATCTCTTCCCCCAGAGCTCCTGTGAGCTGATCGAGAAATTCCTTCTCTTCACCCCAAGCAAGTAGGA